TCCACTAGACATTTCAAACAAACCTCAAAAGTCAAAACAGAACCTAAGGTTGGAGTAGAAACGACTAGATCCACACACAAGGAACTCAACCAAATTTAACCTTGCCACACATTCATAAGAAATAAAAGAATGTGAAGCACCAGAATCAAATAGAATAGAAATATCATTACCATCAGCTTTGCCCTTTCCCTTTACCAGCTCAGATGACGTTTCAGCTTCAGCACCTATTAAAGCAAAAACACGACCTGCTGCAGTAGGCCGATCCACTTTCTGGTTTCCTCTAGCTTGAGTATTTCTTACATTGCAATCCTTAGCCATGAGACCCACCTTGCCACATTTAAAACACACAGTCCTTTGTAGGACAATCCCTCATCATATGTGGGCCTCCACATCTGTAACATCTAAAACTTTGAACAGCTCCTGTAGTAGTAGTCCCCATTGGTTTCTTATTAGCATTCCCCTTATGAAACTGAGATGGTCTCTTTTGGGGATGTTTCCCCCTTCCAAATCCAGATGACCTCTCTGGACCCTTTGTCACTCTATTTCCTCCTTCAAACCTCTAAACTATTTTTGCCTTTTCAACTACAACTGGGAACTCCACAATCCCCATAGGAACAATAGTCTTCTTCAGCTCATACCTTAAACCCTCACTGAACTTCCTGCATCTCCAGGCTTCAGTGATAGCTTGAGAATAGTACCTAGCCAAGTGTTCAAACTTGACCACATACTCTTGCACTGACATATTTCCTTACTGCAGTCTCAAAAACTCAGCTTCCTTAGCATACCTGGCACTATCTGGAAAATATTTCTCCAGGAATACCTTTTTGAAATTTTCCCAATTCACCACTTCCCCTCTAGCTTCCATCATAGCTTGAGCATCTTTCCACCAGAAGCTAGCCTCACCCACCAGCATATAAACAGCATAAACTAGCTTCCTCTCCTCAGGACAATGCATCACCATGAAGATTTTCTCCATCTCCTCAATCCACTGGTCAGCAACTTCAGGTTCATCAACACCTGTAAATTGAAGAGGATTCCCTTTTCTGAACTCTGACAAGTCCCTATACTCATCAGGTACCTCAGCCCTAGCTGCTTCAGCTGTATCCCGGTTGGTCTCCATCTGAGCCAATAAAGTATTCTGTTGTCCAATAGCAGCAGCAATTAGCTCCATAGCCTGAGCAATCTGCCGATCATCCACACCTGAAGAAGGATTAGAATGGTTTCCCCTACCAACCATCCTAATCAAGATAAAGGATCAAGGAACCCATGAGTTTACACCAAAACACATAATAAATTCCTTTCCAAAATCCATTTCCTCACAACAGAAACATAAAAAGACCATTTCCCACAAACCCTAAAGAGATTTGACCAACTCTGATACCAACAAGTGTAACGACCCGCCGTAGGCCGTCACATCAATAACCAATATGACAACTAAAATAAAATAATATATAATTAAGAAAAAAGAGCAAAGGCCAGCTACACTAGAGCGTAAATATACAATAACGTATAAATTGTTTCCATAATATAAAACATAATTTTATAAAAGAGTCATCATTTGTAAGGTTATACAATCATTCAAAAAGATAATGAATATACAACGTCATGAAGACATCAAAATAAGACACCCTAGGTGCTGGTCAAGCTCTAAGCCTAGCCACTTCTCAAAGCAACTACCCAAAAAGACTTTTTGTCATTCCAAAGCCTCACACCTGATCTGCTCCCCCACATAGTGAGATCATCACAGTCCACATCATGGAAATATAAGGGTTAGCACGTATAAAACCAACCATAGTACTATAAAATGAAATATCATTAAACTAGATATTCATCAACAGTATGTATCCATACCAAGGAAATGACTACATTATAACAAGTCATTTCCATGCCAAATATAAACCAATCCAAAATCCAATGTATACACATCCATTCCAATGCATACATATTCGATGATAATAAAGAATCCATAACCAATGTATACAATCCATACCAAATGCATACATATTCCACATCCAAACCAAAGTCACACCACTGTATAATCCCATGAAGTAGCCAACACATCCAAACCAAATGTTGACCTCAACACATCCAAACCAAGTGTTGAATTTGTGAACATGTCACCTGCCCATGTCACACACCTAACCTCTCATGGAAAATATACAGTTGGGTTACGTCGTCACGTAACCCTGGTGATCGCGGCCACTTCATCCATCGGTATGACTCGGCCTTGCCCCATACCAGTAGCAAATAGAATACTTAGAGGAGTACTTCAGAATCCACCTAACATCTGAAGTGGTTTATTATATAATCTTTGGAAAAGTTCCATATTGGAATCCTCACCATGGGACTCCCAAATTCCATATTTTTCCAAAGATTATATCCAAATCTCACTAAGAGATATTCCAATCCATACCATAACCTTACTCCTCTAAGTCCTATTAGCTTTCCAAACCAAACACACATAAGCACATTCCATAATTACATGCAATCTTTTCCAAAACCATGCCACATTCATACCAAATATATAACATCAAAGATGATATGATTCAACATTTAAAAGTTTCATAAAAACTCAATTATAAAACGTTTTCCTCAAAGAAACCATGCGCCTAGCATAGTGGTATTTGTGCCCAGCGTAACTAAAACTGGGAGCCTATCAGGCTTTGCCCGCTCAGCGCGTCACCACGTGTGCTCAGCCTATGACTATATGCGCTCAGCGTGTAGACTCGTGCGCTAAGCGCGTTTGAGACAGAGAGCCACTGGAAACAGCCCCCTCAGCGCGTAGACCCGTGCGCTCAGCCCATGGCTAAATGCGCACAACGCACTCTAAATAGAAAGCTTTGTTCTTCAATGCGCTCAGTGCGTTGTCGCATGCGCTCGATGCGCATCCTGACAGAAAGTTTTGTTCTTCAGTGCGCTCAGCGCGTCGTCGCGTGCGCTCAGCGCGCATGCATTAGGCAGCGCATCAGAAGTTCAAAAACTCCGATTTTCACCCCCAAAATCCATCCCAAATGAATCCCAAACCAAATTTATACAATTCTGAACCATTATAGAGTATAAACACCATCCAAAAACAATACATTAAGTGATAAAAACAATTATTAACCATTAATCCATGAAAATTTCCAATTCAAACTTCAATCTCACTTTTCAAGCTTCTAGAGGCTAAATCTCTTAATACTCTAGTTGTGAAGATTGATCTTGGCTTGATAAGCTTCCCAAATGTGTCCTCAACTTCCCTCCGGACTAGAGCCCCTCTCTCTAATTTCTCTCTCTAGAATTGTCTCTGTCTTACAAATGAGACCCTCCGGTCCTAAGTCCCTATATATAGCCATTTTCCAAAATTTCTAAATTTCACCCTTAGCACCTATTCACCTCAAATATCCTATTCCTTGAAGTATTTCAACTCCCTAAGCTCTAAAACAACCTCAAATTCACTCAAAAAGACCATATTTATCTTATGTTCCTATCCTTCAATCTCCTACCCATCCTATTCCTTTCCATGCAATACTCACAACTCACCACCATATGAAATGCAACATGTATCAACACACAAACAAAGACCACTTTCAAATACATATGCTTGGAATAATGAGTTGCATGCCATAATACTTCACTTAACCAAGATGAGAAGGAAGGTGATCAGTCTTCTTCCCTCTTAGTACCAATTCAGTATAATGGTGTACAATGCATCATTCAACAAATTCATGCGCACACATGCCTATATCAACATCTCAAAACATCAACATCTCATCTCATACTACAAAATCACTACTATGCTTAAACAACTAGTCAAAACTACATCAACATACAACATGCACAGAGGTAAGTACATTTCAAATCCACATCTCCATGATCCAATCCAAATCCATATAAACAACATATACATACATGCATACATACATACATATATATATATAGTATATCTACCAAATAGCTCGGTATTTTCATGGCGTTACAGTTAGTCACGTCTAGCATGGTTAAACCCACACTCAACCTTATTCAGGTAGAGAATCTCTACCTAACTCATGCTCGACATCACAACACTATCGCCCGACATCATCCAGGTAGAGAGCTACTACCTTGATCACGTTTGGCATATGTCACTCCAACTAGGTCTGATGTCACTAAGTTAGGGAGCTCCAAGGGCATTCACGCCTAACACCCTTCAACCTATGCATAGCGTGACAAAGTCAAATAACTCTCCTCTAACTTAAGTTTGACGTTATCAACCCCATGCATGGCGTTAGTGAGGTAGAAAGCTTCTGACCTTCATCACTCCCAATGCCATGAAGTTGCACTTGTTGTGATTATGATTTCTATAACTAGCATAATAAATTTTTTTGGCTCAATCCACCTGAAATTATGAAATTAACCATATATACACTTCATATAAACTTCAATTCCAACCAAAATAACATGCAATCAACATATGGCCAAAACACCAATCTTACCTCATCATGTTCAAACAAGAATAAAACCCACACATAAGAATTCCTCTCAATCATCAACATAGTCACGAATTTAATGAATTCAACCTATATACAAATTATACACTACAACCAAATCAATATACATGTTTCCCTTACCTTCGAATCCGCTAAAAAAGAGGAAGAAGGAAGAATAAGGTTGTTTCGAGTCAACTCCGCACAAAATCACCAACTCTCCAATCCTTAACTTTAGAGGCTTCGAATCCCAACTATAACTACTACCAACTCCGAGGAGGGATTTCTACACTTTCTTGAGAAACTAGAAGTAGCATTTACTACTCCAAACTCTAACTTCTTCTAAGTTCTTATTAAGAAATGAATTTATAAATTTTAAATCTTAAAGAAAATCTTATGTACCATCTCCTAATTAGTCAACTTTGACTTTAACCGAAAATAACTCTCAAACAATAAAATTCATTAGGATTCCCACATCCTTAAAATTTTCACAACAATTAAACAATTAATCACAATAATAATTAAATTAATAAAATCACTGTACATACATATACATACATAAAACTCATTTGCAATTCTACCTTTCACGATAAAAAGAAATGTACATCAATTTTTACACAGAGTTCACATGCATGTAATGTAATACATGATCTCAATTTCTCTTTCTGTTCGTAGAAAATGGAAATAACTAATTAGACCTAAGAGTATTCAAACACCATGATCCACCAATTAATGAACTTTAAGGTGAAAGATGTAAACGCAATATTGGTAACAGCTTTTCTCAAGATCAATCAATCAATCTTTTTAGAAAAATTTAAACCACTGTCTCCCTTATTTTTATAGACATAGAAGGAACTAGCTTAGTGTCCTCACTACAATATTCCTTCGTCATTCTCTTGCTTTTAGGACGAAGCAAGTTGAACCAAAACCCACTTTTGTCGACACTCTTATTTCGATTGTCAGCACCACCTTCGCAATGATCTCTTCTTCTTGGAACAATATGATCCAATGACCTACACCTACTCTTTACGATTCCATGGTTACCACTGAGCAGAAAGATCGAAACCGAAGAGCTACTCTTTCCCTGAGTAGTGAAACAGAAACAAGGCATTGGAGAAGCACAGGAAGAAGTAGTAGAAGCTGAAGAGTAATAGGATGACAAAGAAGAAGAAGAAGAAGAAGTAGAAGAAGCATTGGTGAAGATTGTAGGTGAGTTAGAAGAAGATAGTTGAATGAGTTTTTCCCTCAAGCAAAGAGAACACACACCGGGTGATTGTTGGTGTTTGGGGTGCTTCTTGCAATGGCCATTGCGCTTGACCCGTCCAATAACACTGCATGCGTCCTTTTTCTTAGAGAAATGTCTTCGTAGGTTTTCCATTGTGCAATTTGGAAAGTGAGTGAGTTGGTTGGTTCATATATAGAGGAGGCAAAGGCAAAGGCAAAGGCAAAGGCAAAGAGAAAAGTGAGGTTATGTTCCACTAATTTCCGTGATGCTTCATGCCTGTTTCCTTGTATGTTCTTCTCAAAACGGTCCTTTTGACGTTTTGTTTTTCGCAAATTAAGAATTCTTATGTGAAAGGGTGTGATGGAGGCAATAGGGGCCCAACCCTACAGTCGGTGGTTGTCAGTTTTTCTTTTAATTTATCTTTTCATCCATCTTTAAAATATTATAAAAATATTTTGAGTTTTCGTTAATATTCAGAAAGAATTTTATTATATGACCCTATTGGAAAAAAATTATATCCTACAGAAGATGTATGAACAGTGGAAAATGAATATATTTAAAAAGGGGTGAAAATTTATATTTTTCCAATATAAAAGAAAGGGCAATACTTTCTGAGGGGCGGCGTAGAAAAATATGACAGGAAATGTAAAAAAGCGTTGGCAAAGACAAACAAAATCAAAACAGGCTAGGTGTTCGGCGGTGCCGTTTTGTACACGTATTAAATAACTATTCAGGAAAACTAGTTAAATGGGTTCCTGTAGTTAACTTTTCTAACAAGTCATAGCTATATATAAAGGAAATACATGTATACTAAGTGCTTCGACTCCTTTAATTATAATAAAGATAATTTATGTTAATATTAACTTTTATATATTAAATACAAATTTTTATTTTGTATAAAAGTATTTTTAAGAAATTTTTTAATGAGGAAATCTATAGAGTTTTTTAATTTTTATTTATTATAATTATTTATAAATTAAATATTAATACTTTAAATAAATTAGCAATAAAAAATATTATAAAATAAATCATTTATCATGAATTTAAAATGTAATTTATATATTCAAATATGATATTTATTTATACATAATCTATTATAAATTTTAATTATATATAATAAATATATATATATATATATGTGTATATTATATAGACTAGCTAAAATATTAGTTTCTTTTTATGGTCAAACATTTTCTCTATATTGGTAAATATGTTAAAGTTTATTTGTGATTTTTTATTTTCACAATGTCAACTTTTGATTTCTCATTTTTTAAAATGTGAAAATTTATCTTCATTATTAACTTCATTAATTCAATTTAACAGTGATATTCAATAGTGATGTTGTTTTGGCCTTTATACTAACACACATGTATGATAATTGAATATTCACTTCATTTTTCGCAGATGATTTATGCCAGGATTTCCGCGAGCAACATAAATTCTTTAAGAATTAATATTCGCTCGACAATGATCATTATTATATACACCAAATTAATGTCAGCACGAAAAAGATGTTAATTTTAGAAAAAAAAAATTTCATACTAGAGTGGTCTAGTATATGATTTAATTTTTATTTAAAATTTTATGAATGTAAAAAAATATAAAAATGAAAGATATAACGTGAAACAATTAACTTCTGTGCGTAATTCATTAACACAAACAAGTTAACGATATTGTAGACCAATGAATAGCTTGTAAGTATTCTTTGGAATTTAAATTCAGCGAAGGGACACAAGAACCAAGAAAAAAAGCATATATATATATATATATATATAATTTAGCGGATAAAAAATACACAAAGGGAAAAGATTCAAAATAAAAAGAGAAGAATTTATTTATGATGCTATATATATCATATATAAAAAGGGGTCGACCTAATATTTATATGTTTGAGTCATGATGTTCATTAAAAAAAAAGTATATATTAAAATGAAAGTGTTTTTGCAGCATGTAATGTGAAAAGAAAGGAAAAACGCGAAAGTGTGGGTGGAGACAACTGTATGTGGCATACGAATCTGGGACAGTGGCATTAAAGGGTTCTGATTTTCCGTATACGAAGGCCATGCCAAACTCTCTCATTCCCCACTCCGCTATGTCTTTTGCCACTGCCGCAAAGTCACCAATTACTTATTCCTCGTTTGTTTATGCTTCTCTGCTTGTCTTTAAACATTTTTCCCTTTTTAATATTTGTACAATCTTTGTATACACGTACCAAGTTAAGCTGGAAGATACGATAGTGCTTAATTTTAATTTCCTTTTTGTTTTTTATAATAAATATAGTTACACACAAGTCTACCTACTACCTTCGTGGAAATCCGATCAACTTATCATTTACCTTTATCTTTATTTTTATCTTTATGAGAATTGCTCTCGTATTTGGTGAAAATAATGGTTTTGGTATTTCTCGCTCATATCATCTAATCAAATTTTGACACATAGAGTAATTTTTCATAATGCACGATAAGTCGCTAGTTAACTTTCATTTATGTTCTTTCGATATTGTATGTAGTTAACTCTCATTTATGTTCTCTTAATATTGTATGATAGAGATGACAAAAAAGGCTAACTTGCTTTGTCTTGGTCTACCTTGCTTTAGCTTGTAAAAAAATAGGCTGAATTGGATTGATTGGTTATGATAAGTGTAGGGTTTTGAGTTGATGTTAGTATTTTCATTAGTTGTTTGGAAATTATAATGGGAACATATTTCTTGATATTATTGGGTTATGTACTAAGATTTTCATAATTAAACCAATTAGTTTGAAAACAAGGAATAATATATATTTTTATATTATGTATAAATCTTAATGATATGTTATATATGAGGTGAAACTTGTATTTGTTGGTGTAGGTTTCTTATTTTGAATTGATCGAGTTTGTCATTTTGGTGTTTTGCCTTTTTTTTTATTAATCATAAAAATGGAAAATATATCTTCACAATTTAGTTGGGTGATATTGTCTACACTTAATAGAATTAAACATTAATACTTTTGTAGCTTTCTTTGTATAACATTGGATAAGAAATATTATATTGACGATAATAAAATTTGAATTCAAGATTATATATATATATATATATTTTATCTCTTTATTACTAAATTGACCTTAGTAATTCAATTGTTCCAGAAGAATGGTGAAGTAAGTTTTTATTTTTATTTATTTATTTATTTTTATAATAGTTTGTGTATATATTCTTATTAATGTTAAATACATGCTTAATCCTGAACTTTCACTTTTTGACAAATTTTGTCTCTAAGTTTTTTTTCTTATAAATTATGTTCCCAAACTTTTAAATTTTGACAATTTGTACCCTCTCATCCATTTACCTATCAAAATACTAATAAAGTGCTAACTTGGCATATTTGGTGGATGGTTAATTACATGTTGTGCCCTCGAACTTTTGTTTTTTAAATTTTTCTTGCGAATTATGCACTCAAGATTTTAGATTTTGACAATTTGTATCCTTTGATTGATTACCTATCAAAATACTTACAAAGAGTTAATGTGACATATTTGATGAATGCTTTAACTGCACGTTGTGTACTCAAACTTTCACTTTTTGATAAATTTTGTCCAGGACGGATGCATTCATATCACTGTCGGGCAGTTGCCCCCACTAAAATTTTACACTTATTTATTTATATATATATTATTTAATTTTATAATATATATAAAAATTATATTTTAATTTATTACAAAAAATTGTTAAATAATGACATACATTTTATAGAGATATAATACTTATTACTAAAATTGTTTTTACATATACTACAGATATAATATATGTTGAAATATTATTAAATAAGTGTAAATATATACTATAATAACACTTTTTGTGATTATATGTAACAATTTTTGCAATGATTATTTTTATATCTAATATGTTAAAATATATTAATATTGCATTTATATTTTATTTTATCGTGTAATTTTTTTGTTTTATAACAAAATTGTCTTAACTTTTTTTTTATTATTATTATGATAATATACTTTTTTTTTATGAAAAATTTATTATTTCTTTATTCATTAAAGATGTCATAATTTAATTTACAAATATAGGTTATTTTTCAATTTTTATTTTAATTTTTAATCCTTTTGATTTTGTATATGTACATTATGTGTTGGTAGAAGAGGATCCAAATTAAGAAGAATGAGAGTAATTATCACACAAAATTTTTATTTATTTTTTACTTAAACATATTTAATAAAAAATAGGTGTTGTTCTCATAAAATACTTTTGTTTTAAATGAACGTAAAGATTTAGAAAAGATACAAAAGAAAATAAATAATAATTATATTATCTTTATCTTAATAATTTATACCATTTTGTTCCTCTAAAATTAAATAAATCGCTAAAAGTTACAACATCACACTTAAATATAATATCAGACAAAGAAAAAATGAACAATTGTCACTCTACTTATGAGAAAATTTTAATTTATAAAAAATAGGTATATTAAATTTTTATCACAAAAATATACTTTTTTAAAAATTATTATATTTTTAATAAAAAATTATAAAATATTTTATTGCCCCCACTTAACAATTTTTCTGGATCCGTCATTGATTTTGTCCAAGTAATTTTTCTAGCAATTTATGTATTAATCTGATAGGCCACTATATTTACTATAACACAATGACTAAGCAAAGGAAAACAAAAGAATCATCTAACCTAATATACGAGTAGAAAACTTAAAAGAGTCCTTCACCACGATTATAACAAGTCTTTTACACACACACATATACAATTTCAAAAATTAAAAGTAATAAACGCTAAGTTGTCAATCAAACAACAATTAACCATATCAAAATAGTCTCCACCAAAATAAGTCATCATCATCATGACACACCATATTATTCGCTCTCCAATATAATCTTACCATATTCTCATAATAAAATGATCATAACAGTCCAACAACATGGAAAATAATATATAATATATATAAGTTATCAGTTAACTATATAAATAACTTTACAAAAATCAACATAACATTATCTTCGTACTCAACTTAACAATACAAAATAATCATTCACTTGATTAACTTCTTTACAATTCAACATTTCAACTTAACAACTTGATAACATATTATATATAACTTATCAATATATCAAAACAACAATATAACAACTTAGCAACATAATATGTTTACAACGCTATAACTGAACAACGCAACATCTTGACAACACAATAACATATTATACAACTTACCAATTTTGACAGACGACAATTGATAAGAGGGTAAAAACATTAACTGTTAAAAATTCATAGTAA